TTTGCAGCAGCATTATGGTGTCATCCTCAATTCTCAGCAAGATATAACCAGATATACCAGTGCTCATTACTTTGCAACAGCAGTATGGTGTCATAAGAGTGGTGGATCTAGTCCCCATTTCTCATTTGCAGAGATAAAACCAGAAACACTGAGAAGATTTACAAGGTCATTTCTCTTAAAAAAGTGTAGGCCAAGCACATCCTGTGAAGTTAACGATTTATATTTAGGTAGAAAAAAGGTGGGGCTGACTTACTGGAGCAAGAGCTGTGCTGCAGGAATGCAGATCATCCTTAACAGATAGAAGTCATTGAGTCTCCAGAGCCCTTTTGCCACTCTTTCAGCATCAAGAGAATCTGGGGAATTATGCCCTTTTGCCACTCTTTCAGCATCAAGAGAGTCTGGGGTATTGAGCCTCAGCTGTTTTACATTACTGCAGCCCCAGTGAAACAACAAGCAGCTCCTAGCAGGCATATCTCTGTAGGCATCTACACACTTGACTTGCTGTCACACAAGCCATCACTCCCCACAAATAGCATCACAGCCAGTTGCAGTCCATCTGCCAGCTGATCCTGGACATGATGCTCACCTGCACACAAGAGCAGGCCCACAGCTAGAGTCTGCTTTTAGTTCCCAACAGTTTTTAGAGAAAGGACAACAGTTAAAAGAAAAGTGACAGCAAGAAGCATATAATTTAGAAACAAAATATGTTATGCTGTAGTAAATGAACTGACAATGTTGGTAGGATTGATAAACAAAGACCATGCACCATATGTCTTCCAGATGTTGGTTCTGATCATGCCTTCAGTAACATTTTAATCAACAGGAGCTGAGATCTGTTTTACCACTTACGGTTGGTGAGGTCTTTCCATAGTCTCCTTTGTGATTCTATAATTTAATTCGTCTGGATTGTTAAATGGAATGAATTGGCTGATTGTCTTCATCACAAGGACATTTCCTGACATACACAAACATGTAGTCTAATCTGAGAGCGCGCAAAGCTGTAGAACAGACCTGGGTATAGAGTGGGGTCTCAGCAGAAACAGGAGTGCACAGTCATATCTTTTAAAAAAGAAGTAACCACAGCTATTGATCTGTGTTTCACTCACTGTTTCCAGGAGAGGGATAGTACTATTGAGCCTAGTACTGCTGTTAAAGACACTTGCAAGGGCATTTCCTCCAGACTGTTTGTGAGAAATGTAATCTCCTAAGGAGTTTGATGGACATATGAAAATGATTCTCTCGACTCTGCTTTTAATATTCCAGTCTTAGAAATCAGACATATGGCTGCAGACAGCTGGTAACTGTGAAGACATCTGCATATGGTTTCACACCAAGGTGACACAGGGAAGATTGATTTCTCGGGACCAGAGGTGAGCAATTCTCATCAGCCTGGCTCATGGGTGATGACTTGTTCATATGGACAAATCCTGGCTCTTTTATTCACATTGAAAGTGACATCAAGCTTTCTTGCATGAGCAAAAAAAAACCTCAGAACACACTATTAGATGAGAGAAGGACTATTTGCTTTATGATGCAGGCCCAAGGTTTGCCAACTTTGAAAGAAATGGGAACGTACACAGATTTTTTTTCAATTTGAGTAAAAACGTAGATGAGAGAAGGACTATTTGCTTTATGATTCAGGCCCAAGGTTTACCAACTTTGAAAGAAATGGGAATGTACACAGATTTTTTTCAATTTGGGTAAAAACAAAGCATGGTCCAGTAGCCTCAGGTGTGTAACATCTCCTTTTAAAGTCAGCTGTGTTTAACACTCAGCTCTACTTAGAAGCTGTAAAATATCGTAACACAGTATGAAACATAGATAAACTGATTGGGAGGTATGAAGCTATAATTTGCCTAGAATCCAAGATGGCATTTCATTAGTGAGCATGCTTCTGCAGACTGTAGGCACAACTGGGTGGGAAACTGAGGGTTTCATTTCAATTAAAAATCAAAAGTAAAATTAAAACAGAAATATAGGACAAATTTAATGTGATTTGTAGTTTTCCCTGAAGGGTGGAAAACAGCCATTAGTCCACTGATTAAAAGATAAAACTGTTTTGAGGGAGAAAACAAATAACTTCAGCCTAGCGGAGCTGGGATCCCTCAAATCCCCAAAGGGGGAAAGGTTGCCTGCTCTTCCTCTCTCTTTCCAAGGGCAATACAGACCAAGGGTGTAACCCAGTGGACTAAATCAGGCCTCTGATATGTATTTCCCTTGCTCCAGTGGATGCCAATTTTTTAATTTTTATTTTTTAACACAGAATGAAAACTGGAAAGAATGCGATGCTTATGCAAAGACATTTCATAAGAACTGCAGTGTATGGCTGAATCTTAGCAATTTAGGGTGAGAATAACCTACTCAGCTTCTGCCACTGTAAATAAGAATTGATAAAATTTTCACCTATTAATCCTCATGGAAGTCTCTCTTAAACTGTGGCCAACCACAGCTAATGCAACTTTTCTCCTTTAAAGTGGTTCAAGTGGATGCTTTGTTTCACTTTTCACATCTGTACAAAGATGCAACTCACCTAAAAATTTTCATGTTCTCTAAAAACGTAGTGTATGTACTGGCTCCTCAGTCTGATGTGCTGAGTGGTGCCGTTGCATAAGAGATTTAGGGCAGCAAGCAGCAGGTGAGAGGTACTGCATTTATCTTTTAATTAGTTCATGCTAGGAGTTTCTTCAGAGGTAGGTTATCTAACCCCTAATTACTATTTGTCCACCTACATTATTAAAATGTTACTTGAGTCCTTCTGTATCAAGGACTTTTTGTACCTCCTGAGAACTGCATTGCTAAAATTGCATATAAATAACTACTCTGAAATAATCCCAAGTGATAATTTTATAAATCTGTTGAGCACCAATTGTAATTACAGAACTTTAGCAATAAAAATTAAAAAGTCTAGTAAAGTATTATTTTAAGTCACAAAAAAGTGTCCTCTGGAGCTTGTCTGACTCCATAAATTTTCATCATTTCTAGGCTTCTTAAATACATTTTCAACAATCACATCCATCTCTAGAAACAAATTCTCAAAATGTCGTGTTCTGTGAAAAAACCTACTGTTTTATTAATACCCTATTCCACATCACACTGATTATGTTAAGAAGAATAAATATTTTTGCATAAATACATACAGCAGATTCTTGTCTACAGAGAGAATACATTATAATCTTGAGATGTTTCTTATTTCTGGAAGCATTAATACACTAAAGGAATATGACAACTTTGAGGTTGGGTGCTTCTGAGGTACATAGATGTGTGTTGCACAAAACCTTCCAATAAGGCAACGAAATTGGAAAGCCTTCGTGGAAATATAGTAATTTGGCAAAGGGTTTCTAATGATTTTCCTGTATTGATTTACTGGCGTGCATTTGCCAGTGCTGGGGAGGTATAACCACCATGAGAGTATTTAACATTTGATTGCTTGTTTGCTCCTGGAGGATTCATGTAACTGCCAGTGCCAGTCTAGACTGTGCTGGCAGCTCTGTGAAGAAAAGAAGGGATTCTGGTAGGAATAGGTTTGCTTTTCTGCAGCAAGACACTTATCAGAACTGACAAGAATGCAATTCTGAGGCAGCTCATGCTCCAAACCATCTATATTTTTCTACTGAAGTGAAGCTGCAGCATTAATGAGATATTAATGTTGTTAACTGTGGGTGTGACCCTGCAGTGCTTTCACACTTGAGTAATCTCACTCCAGCAGCCAGATTCACTGAACACAATGAGGTGGTTGTACCAGGACCGAATGCCATACAAGTAAAAACTCCCTTTCAAATTGTTATGTCTTTCCAATTCTAATTGCTGTGGGTAAAATGAGTTTGCAAGTTTTTAGCTAATTTTATTGCCAAAAGAACTCCATGGTTTGGGTATTTTTTCCTGCTAGAAACTTACTACAGACCGTCAAAGGCAACAGTGTGAGAACGTGATTTCTTGCCACTTTTAAATTAGAGAGTAGAGCTACAAATCCTGAAATGGATGCTTTAACACTTGAATAGTTTTCTAAATTAAAAATAATGGATTCCTGGCAGGCATCCTACCCCAGTTTACTCACAAAATAGATTTTATTACCCCAGTGTCACTATAGCTGCACAATAGTCATAAGTCAGAAAACAGTCTTATGTTGATCACTGAGCCACTGAAAATTAGTTTTTTCATGACTAATTTATTTTAGAAACTGAGACAATGCTATTTATGTCATGTAAATGACTTAGAAAAATAATGCAAATGATATTGGACGTTTACAAACTCATTATGGTAATGGGAATCTTGAATAACTTGTAAGAGAGTTCTGCAAGTTCCACTGTTGTTTGGCATGATGATAAACTTCATAGCAATCTCTTGATCATTCCCCCCTCCTTTTTCATGAAATTAATCATATACAGATGCAGTACTAAACCATTAGGATGCAAAGGAATTTCAGTTGTTTTACAGAGAACAAAAACTGCTTAATTTATACCTTTTATCATTGTAACAGAACTAGATGTGCCGGATTCTTAATCCGTTAAACCAGCCTCTAGAGCTCTGACTTTAAAATAGATTGCTTAATCAAAAAGACTTACCTTTCTTACAAAAAATGAGTCTCCATTTAAGTAATAATCTAGTTCCGTTAAACCAGCCTCTAGAGCTCTGACTCTAAAATAGATTGCTTAATTAAAAAGACTTACCTTTCTTACAAAAAAATGAGTCTCCAATTAAGTAATAATCTAATATTTATTCCTGCTGCAAACTAGAGATTCTAAACAATCACACTGTGCAACATAAAGACTCCAAGTAAGGATGGCTCTGCTATAATATGCAATATTCAGTTCCAAATATTTATTAACTGGAGAATGCGCAGTGATTTGAATCTATGGATAGTTAACACATCTGCTGGTTTCTGTAGCTTCTCTTTCCTCCCCCAACCCCTCAAACGGCAAACCAAGACTTGATCAAACATGTAAAATATACAGTAACCTGAATGTATTCAGCCCAAGGAGAAAGGCACAGCGGTAAATTACCTTAAATTCAGTTTCAATGTTGGCTAGTCTGGCCAATTCATTGCTTAGCTCTAAAGCAGTAAGGACAGGGTCTTCACTGGAAAGAGACAAATAAGCAGCACTGGCTAATCCTTTGTAGGCATTCATTCTCGATCGAGAGTGACTAAAGGAATCTTTCCTCTGCTTCTCAATACATTCATTGCACTTGCAAAAATAGTCATGTGGCCTTTCAATCCGCGCGCCTTTTAGAAGTAAGATGTGAACAATTTCATACTCCTGGCAGTGGGCAGCAAGTATGATAGGGGTAATGTCATGGGAGAAACGAGTTCCGTCTTCATCGTAGGCATAAAAATCATCATCTCTCAGTTCCTGCTCGAGGGGACTGAGTGTGAGACGTTGTCCTTGTGCAAAGGCTGGATGGTTCAATATTGCTTCTACAATGCGCACGTATCCTTTACTGATTGCTAACAAAAGCGCATCTCCAACTCGAGCAAGATTCTCCTTTTTGAGGAGAAGCTCTGTCACTTCCAGATGCTCGTTCCCCACAGCTAACTGTAGCGCATTTTGTCCCATATAATCGACGCAATTAAAGTTCAAGGTTTTGGATTCCTCCAGCATTTTTCGCACAACAGGAATGTTGCCATATTCTGCAGAATCGAGAAAACGTTCCTCTTCTGCAGTCAGGCTGGTGCCTTTCTCATTGAACATGTAGGCTGGGCCCCGGATGGCCTGCCTCCGGCCCTTCTCCCGAAGGGTTGTGTGCCTTCGATGCATGGTTTTATAATTGCTGTTTCTCAACCTGCAGAAAACCAGAAAGGAACGTTGGTTATATTCTTGAAGATTCATAATCTTATATACCCTGAAATAAGGTTAGAAATGTCTCATTATGATCAGGTCTTGCCAACTTTTTCTCCAGTTGTTTAAAATCATTTGGGATACATGTGGAATAAAGAAAATTATTTTTCTGAACAACAGAGAAATTCTCTTCTGACTTGTACACCCTTCTGGATTTCAACAAGGATACACAGCATATTCCTAACTTGAGAAATAGCAAAAAAACCCTAAAGTATTAGCACATTGTTTTCCATTTTTATTGTTTAGATGTTCAGTACACAGTATTTAGGGGTGATATCCACAGCTTAATCGTTCTCCTAATTACTCTTGAGTTTTATCCTTGAGGGCACAAGGCAAGCTAAAGAAAGTTAGCAGGACACCCTACATCAACAGACCTTGGATCAGGCCAATAAACTATTTTCCATAAAGTTAAAAAACATGCTTCTAATTTTAAACACAGAGTAACAAGGATAAATATAGTGCGTATTCTGTTGTATGAAAATAACTGAAAACCAACATCTATCTGTCTTATTGAAACATTCACACTTTGCATTCCGTGGCATCTCAATGTTATTTTGCTTTTTTCATTTTTTTGCAGTAGCATCTCAACAAAATCAGAGTCTCTCTTTTGTAGCCTAAGCACGTGGAGTTAATTGCCATCCTGAGCCCACAGAACGTGCAGCCTGAGTAAAAAGGTATAAACAACACCTCTTTCACAAAAAGCATTTGCACTCAGTCCAATAGCAAGTCCTAAATCACTTGGGTAAAATTTTCAGGAGCCTCTAAGTTGCACTGGGCAGATGTAACAAATAAGCAGGTGTTAATGCGCAGTGGGTGGCAAAGGTTCATCTTTCCATGCTCCATCTGTTCACCAAGTCGGTTTTGACCTTCAGTCAATGAAAAGTTCATGTGTTGCCCTGAAAAAATACTACTGGAGTTTGAAAGAGTTGCTGTGAATGACAAGAAGGAAAGGTGCCAGGAGACAAAGTGGAGCAGAAACGTTGCTTTCAGTAATATGTTTTTTTGGAGAAGAAAAGCGTAAGCCAATCAACCAAAATTGTGGGGAAAAATGAGGGTATCAGAAATACCCAAAATGCTTAAAGTACCAGGACACAGAAATTCTCAACGTAGCTGTTCTTAGGAAACTAACATATACATATGTATCTATTATTTTAATTCATCATTTTTCTACTGATCTAGAACAGAAAGCTAGTGCTGCAGTTTCAAACAAATTTTACAGCAAATTTTTAGCAGCTACATTAATATTTAAGTAAATCCTAAGAAAGCAATTTTGTGATTATACAAAGTTGAAATTGAGGTTCATAATCACAAGCCTCTCCCCCTCGTCTTGAATGCATCAGTATAACAACTTCATAAAAACTGGAAGAAATTGAACATATCATCCCATGCTCCACTGAGAGATAAACTGTTATATTAATCTTAAAACAAATCCCTTCCAGTGTGGTTGAAAGTTGAAGAAGTACACAGAAATGAGGGACATAAGAATAATGAAGGAGCTATAGTTAAGTAAATTATTTCCCAAGATTGCCTGACTTTTCCTTTAAGAATAAACAATAACAGCTAAAAAAATATACTGTCGACATATCTAACATTAACAGGGACACAGAAGTCTCTAAAGCAGGGAGTAAAATTGGGGCCCCTTTGAAGTCTACGAGGACAAAAAATTGGGGCCCCTTTGTCCTGCTGGAGGACAGCTCGAGGGACAGGCTGAGGGAGCTGGGGTTGTTCAGCCTGAAGAAGAGGAGGCTCCGGGGAGACCTAATAGCAGCCTTCCAGTACCTGAAGGGAGCCTACAGGAAGGCTGGGGAGAACCTGTTTAGAAAGGCCTGTAGTGACAGGACAAGGGGCAATGGCTTCAAGCTGGAGGGGAACAGATTTAGATGGAGATTAGGAGAGGGTTCTTCACTGTGAGGGTGGTGGAGCACTGGAACAGGTTGCCCAGGGAGGTGGTTGAGGCCCCTTCCCTGGAGATATTCAAGGTGAGGCTCGACGAGGCCCTGGGCAACCTGGTCTAGTTGGGGGTGTCCCTGCTGACTGCGGGGGGGTCGGACTAGATGGCCTTTGGAGGTCCCTTCCGGCCTGGGCAATTCTATGATTCTATGATTCAGAAACTGTATTTTTATGTTCTGAAAACATTGTATGGTAAGATATTTGGCAGCCTTGTATTTGTTGTTATATTTAATGGAAGAAGCTCAGAAATATGGAACACTTCCAGCAGTGAGGAATCTATTAGACATTCTCTTGATGTCCAAATATAATTCCTGATAACTTGTTCTTTTTTTCTTAGAAAGCTTTTCTCTCCTGGTATGTTATTGAGAATCCACACATGGGACAGATAACCTTACCATTATACCCAAGTTTAATATAAAACCACGTAAAATATTACCATTGGCCCAGTTCTAGGATTTTTGCACAGAAAAGGAGGTTAGTGTTTGGCCTAGAGCTACTTGCCACCAGTTTGTTGTATATACAATAACATGCCAAAAAAAGGACCTTCATTTCACTTTCTTCAATTCAGAGAGAAAAGTGGTTTCATACACTGTTTCTAGCAACAGAAATTGCATCAGAAATTGAGGAAACAGAAAAGCATACCAGCCCTCTGATAAGATAATTACTATACAACATTTACCTTACAATAACTGTTCTGCAGGGATGTCCCTACAGCAGAGTTGATCACTGCCTGCAGGTAAGGGTAAGAGCACTATAATTCAGAGGGTTTCACCTCAGATGAATTATGACCTCCAGTCTTGCTCATGAGCAGGGAAGATCAATATCTCAGCTATTGCACTTTATCATCTTTATAGAGAACGGGAGATGAATAAAAAATTATACTTTTAACTTTGAATAATTTCATGAGAAATGCTCAGCTATAAACTCCTGTTCTGAAAAGAAAGTTATAATTATGTTTGACCTGAACACTGAATCATGATAGAGAGGTGGTAGTGTAAAGAGTAATACATACAGTACCTGAAGATCTTGGAATCTGAACCCTACTGTAATGTCATGACTGTACTTTGCACCTTTTTCTATTCTGCTTTTCAGTTATGTGCAGGCAGTTTTAGAACTAATCATATTTACTGAGTGCGTGTAATGTGCTCTCTTAAAAAAAAAAAAAAACGTAATTGTGACTTGATTGCATTTATCTTACCATTTTTGTTTAAAGGTGCTTTGCATCGAAATTACTCTGCATTTGCATATTTTATTGAGACAGCTAGTGATCAAACTCATCAGGCACTGCAATTAAATATTGTGTTTTTCTAGGAAAGAATGCCAATGTATGCAGTGTTGTTGGAGAGAAAATG